CCCCTCCCAGGCCTGGACCAGCTCTGTGGCAAGTAGGGGTGTTCCCCAAAGAGAGATGGAGGTAGGAAAGAGGAGGATTGAGGACCCCTCCCCTTGTGCCCTGCCAGGGCAATAAAAAGGCATGGGTTTCTCAAATTTGCCCCACCTCTACAAAGGATATATTTTCATGCACGAACGATTATCTTAAACCACCCAGAGAGCGGGCAGGAGTCAGCTCCCAGGAAGACTGGTGAGTTCTGCAGGCCTGAGTGCATACAGTGGGGTGAGTGGTCCCTGAGGGGTCTTGAAATGCCCCGTTCCAGTGCAAGGAGAGAGGTGACTTGCAACAAAGGCTCCCAGTAAGGATGGGGTGGGCACAGAGCACAGCTGCCTGCTGGCAGGGAGAGGAAAGAGCACAACGGCCCTGCAGAGGCCCCTCGCCCTCCTCTGAGAGCCAAAAGAAGATGCCTGATGCCCTGAAATCAACAGGCTCACAGCCCAGCAACCGCCAAATAATAAAAGTCACCTGAAGGAAACACTCTTTTCTCAGAGTCCCGCTCCCCTCTCCCAGCACACACTGTGGGACATCAGATCCTCTGGAGGGTGGAGAGTCTCCCGAGGAGTGCTGGGGATCCTGAGATGTGGGCGTTCTCACAGTTGCCCCAGGAAGCCTGCTCTGCAGGGCTGCAGAGGGCTAAAAGAATTCTGGGCGTCAGCTGGGGCCAACTCCCAGCCACCTGTCCAATCATCCTTTGAAGTCACTGCAGGGTACAAGCTGCAGAGGGCAAAGTGGAGAGGGTCAGTCTCAGGTCTCTGGCAAAAGAAGCAGAATCCATGGCTGCCCCAGCCCGCACCCATCTTGGCGGGTAACCCCAGGGCAGGACTCACAGCTCCGAACAGACTCTGACAGCCCTTCTTTGTCCAGGGTCTCAGCTTCCCAGTGAGACTCCTTCATCTGTGGAACATAAAAGGACAGAGAAAGCGATGGGGAGGCCTTCAGACAGAGACACACACAGGGGGAGCAGGGGACACATAGCCACAGGCAGAGAGGAGCAGGACCCACACAGCTTCGCCCCGGCGGGGCCCCCACATGCCCACCTTGACCTGCTCCTTCAGGTATTCAGCTCGAGCCATGAGATTCTGAACCTGCCGAGGAAGACACGCCCATGGGTGCAGGGTGAGGAGGGGCCTTCACACTGAGCTCCTCCTCACTCCTGATGCTCTCCAGAACCCTCTGCCCCATTAGAACAACTTATCTCTGAGTCCTTATCTGCTCCTTCCTCCAGGAAGCCTTCCAACTGCAGCAGCCCAGCAGACTTTCTGCTGCTGAGTTCCCAGATCCTGCCTGTCCCCTTGCCCTGACCCAAGAACCTGAGCCCTATAAAGTACGTGGGGCCACTGACTTAGCACATCTATGAAGTCTGATTCCTAGACCTGGATAACTCTGCGGGAACCCAAGAGGCCCCCCCAAATGGGAGCAGGGCAAATGGGTAAGAGGAAGCTCTCTAACCCTCCCAACCCCAGTGGGCACCTCAGTGTGAAGCAGCTCCCTCCTCCGGCCTGGGGGCTCCGCTGCAGAGAGAGGGAGGGCACATGGTGAGGGCAGGGCAGCCAGGGGCTGGGGGGAGTGTAGTGACAGGCGGAGGGGGGCCTCACCTGCCAGCAGCAGCAGCAGCTCCCCAAGGCTGTGCTGGTACAGGGCCAGCGCATCCTGCTCCCCACCAGCCTCTTCCTCCTGCAGCCACAGGGATACCAGGTCATTTAGGATCATGACCTGGATTCTTCCCTGCCCCATCTAGACCCCTTCCATCAGGTACAGACCTTGGCCATGGCAGCCGAAGCCAATTCCAAAGCAGCTAGGAGGCGCGGCTTGTCCCGGGCCATCTCTGGGATGATGGGCAAGGGCTCAGGGTGAGGGGAGCGGCCTGCTGTTTCATCACAGGATGCCCACCCCAACCTGCCGCCCCCTCAGGTTGGAGGGAAGTTGCTGGGGAACTGGCGGTCAGCCAGGATCGGGGTCTACCTCTGAGCAGGTCTCGGGCAGAGGTCCCCTGCCTCAGCAGGGCCCGATTGGAGGAAGAGACGATGGCCTTGAGCTCCTCAGCCCTGGACACGTACTGCCCCACCTGCAGGAGGGCGAGGCGCTGAGGAAAGGCTGCCCCCTCCCCTCCCCCAACCCTCGCTGGCATCCACCTCCAGGTTCTCCCTCTGGGTCTTCAGTGACTGCCCCAAGTTGTAACATCAGGGGTCAACTGAGGCTGACCTGACCCCTTCCCAGGGAGAGAAGTTCCTCTAAGAGAGCCAGTCCCCGGAGGCCCCAGGATCCCTCACCCATTTCCTCAGGAGACTCTCACTCATTCACCTTTTCCTTAATTGCATCCTTCCGCTGGGCATCCACTTCATCTGCAGAAAGTAGGGGTTTATATGAGGAGTCTAGGGCGAGGAGACCTCTGCCCTACACCAAACTCACTGGACTTTGGAATCCCCCAAAGCACTAAGTTCCAGATTTACCCTCTGCCTTGTCTCCCACACAATTCTGGATGGGGAGCTGCTTATGCAATCCACCCATTGCAGCTATGGCTGACCCCACCCCTGCTGCACCCGGCCTGGCACTCACAGTGCAGGGCAGGCACGAAGAAGTCCAGAGCCTTGCAGTAGAGAGATAAGGCGGCCACGGCATCCCCTTCCTGGTCCTTCTTCACTGCCTGCACCACCAGGGCGGTCTGGGGCACAGGGGACAAGCAGACCAGGAGTCATGCCCACCCACCATGCTCCCAATGAGGGGGGATGCCCTGAGTCCACCCTCTGCTTCCTGGCCTGGTCACCACTGAAAGGGGAAGATAAGACCCTGAACCCACCCTCTGCCCACCCATCTCCACTGGCTGCTCACTGCTCGTGCCAGGCTCTCCGCACTGGGCATGTGCTCCAGGTCCACCCAGGGGTGGGCAAAGAAATCCTGGAAGGAGATGCGACGGCTGGGGTCCCGCTCCAAGAGCCGCTGCAGCAGGTCCCGGCAGTCCTGGGAGAGCAGGGGCCGCAGGGGGAGCTGGAGGGAGGGGGTTACCAATCACACTAGGCTCTGGCCTGTGAGAACCACCCTGCCCCAGAGATACAAGTCTGACAGATGGGAACGTGAGGCCAGAGGAACAGCGACAGGTTAGGGTGTCACAGCCAGAGAGAGCCAAGCCTTCTCTCCAAGGCTCCAGCCCACACCCTCACTGGAACCTGTGGCTGTCGTGGAACCCTTTGCAGAATCTCTTCCTCTCTCTGGAATACGCTCCCGGGAAGACTGGGCCTAGGTCTGCTGTGGCCTTCTCTCTAAGGGGTGCCTGTAACAGGCTGCGGGGCAGGCCCTTTGCTCCCTGTTGTGGGCTGATCTGGGCCTCTGGAACTGAATGGACCCCGACTTTCAGGCTAGAGTGTGCCCCAGCTCCATGAAGGTGGCCTGGAGTCTGTGACAGTGGCAGTGAGGTCTTCTACCTTGGGGCTCCGTCGCCCTCCACCCCCCAGCAGCTGCCAAGGCCCTGCCAGACCCACCTCAATAACCCGGTTGCTCCGGATCTTCTCTTCCAGCTCCGAGAACGACCTGGAGGCAAAGGGGGGCTGCCCGAAGAGGGCTTCTGTGGAAGGGAGGCAGAGGGCAGGCTGGGAGGGAACAGGGTCAAGCCTGGCCTGGCCCACTCCTGGAGAGGGGGCCTGGCACCCCTCAGAACAGAGGCCCCAGGGCAGGAGTCAGCATCCTCATTAAAGCCCTTTGGGAGTGGCCCAGAGAGGCCTTGCCTGAGGACACACAGTGCAGGCCTCTAGGGGTAGGGGGCAGGGGACAGAGCTCTCACCGTATAGGATGACCCCCACAGACCAGAGATCCACACGGGCATCATACTGCCGCTGACACACCATCTCGGGGGCCATGTAGAGGGGCGAGCCACGGAGCACATGCTTCTCATCCCAGGGGGACATGTGCTGTGCAAAGCCGAAGTCTGCAGGCAAGAGGCCAGGCGGCAGGGCTCGAAATGAGGCTGCCTCTGTTTCTGGCCTTAACAGCCCCACCCTGAGCCCCAGGGCAGGGGTCCTCCCACCCTCTAGACTCAGCAGGATTAATCCCACTCCCCTATTTTGCTCAAGCCGTTTCTCTCATTATGAGCCTGGAACACCCTCTCACCTCTTCCTTTGGGGGTGTAAATCCTACCCCTCCTGCACAGCACCCTCAGGCACCTTTTTCCCAGGAAGCCCACCCTGATCACACCAGCAATGAGAATAAGGGCTCCCTAGGGGTTAGAACCCTCCCTCACTGACCCACCAGGCTCAGTGGGCCTCTCTGGCCTCCAGTTTCAAGTCAGTTCTTCTTTACAGTTTCTCAGGGGCCACAACCACCCCTTTCCCACCTCACACCTTCCAACACTGCCACAGACTGAGTCATAATTTGAGCCGCAATCCTGGGGCAGACCAAGTCCTAACCCTGGTCACACACTGAACCCTGACTGCTCACACATTGAGCCCTGACCCCTACTCACGACACTGCTGGAGTCGAGTGTGGGTAGCCAGAGAAAGGCCCTACCTTTTGGTGATGGGGTCCATCCCTGGAACTCCCAGTCTATCGCTGTTTGATGACTCAATAAAGGGCTCCATGAGAACCAGGGCTGCCAAGTGAGCTCAGGCAGGAGGAGGCCTCTGCACACCCACCCTCCAAACCTCCACAACTGCTATTCCAGACTCACACCTGCCAGTTTAAGGTGGGGCTTCTCCAAGGAGCTCAGCAGAATGTTCTGTGGCTTCAGATCCAGGTGAGAAATGTTCCGTTCATGTAGGAACTGCAGGGCACTAGCTGGGGAGTAGGATCCATGCAGAGATAGGTCAGAGGAGCCCACCTCTCCCTCCCCAGGCTTATTACCTGCCTCTTCAAGCCTGCACAACCCCAGGTATGGCCTGGCTAGTCTACCAAATGCTTTACATACAAGCACCAGGCTCCTGTGACTTCTAGGAATTTGCCCCACCCCCACCCTGAGGGACCACTTTCCTCTCTTGGACCCCTTCACAAGTCTCCCCTTCTTCTAGAAGCCTCCTGGATGCCCCCAGCCCTTTGGGCTCTTGCTCTTTTTCTTGGTAAACCACTTGGGTCTTTGGAATGTTCTAGGAGGTCCTTACAATACATTTCACACGTGGACGCCTGACTCCCCACAGATGGGGCTCCTCTTTGTCTCTCTCACAGCATCCTTAAGTCAGAGATAGGTATGTAGGAAGGATGAGCCTAAAAATTCCAATTGGGATGGGAGGCAACTGCTAAGAGTGTCAGGACTCTAAGCCTGTGGCAGGGTCGGTGGGAGGACAAAGATCATGGGAAGCGGTGTCCAGCTGGGGTCAGAGGCTTTTACCCAACTGCTGCATGAAGACACGAGCCACCTTCTCGGGCAGAATCCTGCGGGTGTGGATGAAGCGAGACAGATCACCTCCCGCGCAGAACTCCATGATGAGGTAGATGTTGTCGCTGTCCCACTGTGGTGAGAGGCAGAGAGGAGGCTAGAAGACGGTGTCCGTTCTCCAGCCCTCTTTGGGGATGACCCCACCCCAGGCCCACACCTGGAAGTCTTTCAGCTGTACAATGTGGGGGTGTCGAATACCCTTGAGGATTTCAATCTCTGTCAAGAGGTTTTCCACGGATGCCTTGTTCAGACTCTTCTTGGCCACACACTTTATGGCTACCACCTCGCGAGTGTCCTTCTGTGGGGACAGGAGATTTGAGGGCTCTGTTTTGAGGAGACCAGGGACCATTTGTGGCCATTAAGGCTCTGGTTCCCTCTGCCCCTCCCCACCTCACTGGCCTACCCACTCACACCAGCATCAGGCTTCCCAGCTTCCCCTACTGAGGCCAATAAGGCCTGATTCTGGAATCCCGGCTTCCCCACCACCCTGGTGTTCTCTGCTCCACAACCTCTCCTTTCATTGTATTCTAGAGTGCCCCTGCTAAGGCATGTCATTCAGTGTTCTAAACTGCCCACTCTGCTTCCTAAGTGGGTCCAGCTGTCTAGAACCCTGCCCCAGACTCCTCCCAGCCCACAGGATGTATCCTCCCCGTTTTGAGCCTATTCTTCAGCCACTGGCACTGCCTCTCCACACAAAACAGGGGTGTGTGTACGTATGTGTTTTGAAGACCTATCGGTGGCGGTCACCTCCCACCTCCTCTACGGAAGGTCGGCCTGGCACGGCGCAGACCGCGCGGGGCCCGAGCTGTTCTCAAGCCGTCTCTAACCTCTCCTGGCTTCCCCGCCCGGCACCGCGTGGCCTTGCTCAGGGTCCGGCAGGCCTGGGGGCCAGGCCCTCAGAAGTTCCCGAGACCCGGATTCCTGCCTCGCACAGAAGCCCCGGGCGCCCCGCACCCACCTTGGCATAGGCCTTGTACACCGTGGCGTACGTGCCACTGCCCAGGCGCTCGGTGAGGATGAAGCCGTCCAGCCGCGGGGGGCCCCAGGCGGGCCCCGCCATCCCAACCGCCCAGTGCCCGCCTCCGGGCGCTTCCTGGTTCCCGGCGCCGGGT